TAAGTTTCATTAGGTTCCATTTGTTTATTTTTGTTTTTATTTCCATTACTCTAGGAGGTGGATCAAAAAAGGTCTTGCTGTGATTTATGTCAAAGAGTGTTCTTCCTATGTTTTCCTCTAAGAGTTTTATAGTGTATGGTCTTACATTTAGGTCTCTAATCCATTTTGAGTTTATTTTTGTGTATGGTGTTAGGGAGTGTTCTAATTTCATTCTTCTACATGGAGCTGTCCAGTTTTCCCAGCACCACTTATTGAAGAGAGTGTTTTTTCTCTTGTATATCCTTGTCTCCTTTGTCATAGATTAGTTGACCATAGGTGCATGGGTATATCTCTGGGCTTTCTATCCTGTTCCATTGATCTATGTTTCTGTTTTTGTGCCAGTACCATATTGTCTAGATTACTGTAGCTTTATAGTATAGTCTGAAGTCAGGGAGTCTGATTCCTCCAGCTCCGTTTTTTTCCCTCAAGATTGCTTTGGCTATTCGGGGTCTTTTGTGTCTCCATACAAATGTTAAGATTTTTTCTAGTTTTGTAAAAAATGCCATTGGTAATTAGATAGGGATTGCATTGAATCTGTAGGTTGCTTGGGAAGTATAGTCATTTTCACAATATTTATTCTTCCAATCCAAGAACATGGTATATCTCTCCATCTGTTGGTGTCATCTTTAATTTCTTTCATCACTGTCCTGTAGTTTTCTGCATACAGGTCTTTTGTCTCCCTAGGTAGGTTTATTCCTAGGTATTTTATTCTTTGTGTTGCAGTGGTAAATGGGAGTGTTTCCTTAATTTCTCTTTCAGATGTTTCATCATTTATGTATAGGAATGCCAGAGATTTCTGTGCATTAATTTTGTATCCTGCAACTATGTTGAATAATAGCGGTGAGAGTGGACATCTTTGTCTTGTTCCTGATCTTAGAAGAAATGCTTTCAGTTTTTCGCCATTGAGAATGATGTTTGCTGTGGGCTTGTCGTATATGGCCTTTATTATGTTGAGGAAGGTTCCCTCTATGCCTGCTTTCTGGAGCGTTTTTATCATAAATGGGTGTTGAATTTTGTCAAAAGCTTTTTCTGCATCTATTGAGATGATCATATGGTTTTTATTCTTCAGTTTGTTAATATGGTGTATCACATTGATTGATTTGCGTATACTGAAGAATCCTTGTATCCCTGGGATAAATCCCACTGGATCATGGTGTATGATCCTTTTAATGTGTTGTTGGATTCTGTTTGCTAGTATTTTGTTGAGGATTTTTGCATCTATATTCATCAGTGATATTGGTTTGTAATTTTCTGTTTTTGTAGTATCTTTGGTTTTGGTAACAGAGTGATGGTGGTCTTATAGAATGAGTTTGGGAGTGTTCCTTCCTCTGCAGTGTTTTGGAAGAGTTTGAGAAGGATGGGTGTTAGCTCTTCTCTAAATGTTTGGTAGAATTCACCTGTGAAGCCATCTGGTCCTGGATTTTTGTTGGAAGATTTTTAATCAGTTTCAATTTCATTACTTGTGATTGGTCTGCTTATATTTTCTGTTTCTTCCTGGTTCAGTCTTGGAAGCTTATACCTTTCTAAGAATTTGTCCATTTCTTCCAAGTTGTCCATTTTATTGGCATAGAGTTGCTTGTAGTAGTCTCCTAGGGCGCTTTGTATTTTTGCAGTGTCTGTTGTAACTTCTCCTTTTTCATTTCTAATTTTATTGATTTGAGTCCTCTCCCTCCTTTTCTTGATGAGTCTGGCTAATGGTTTATCAATTTTGTTTATCTTCTCAAAGAACCAGCTTTTAGTTTTATTGACCTTTGCTGTTGTTTTCTTTGTTTCTATTTCATTTATTTCTGCTCTGATCTTTATGATTTCTTTCCTTCTACTAACTTTGGGTTTTGTTTGTTCTTCTTTCTCTAGTTCTTTTAAGTGTAAGGTTAGATTGTTTATTTGAGATTTTTCTTGTTTCTTGAGGTAGGCTTGTATTGCTATAAATTTAACCTCTTAGAACTGCTTTTGCTGCATCCCATAGGGTTTGGATCATTCTGTTTTCATTGTCATTTGTCTCTAGGTATTTTTTTGATTTCCTCTTTGATTTCTTCAGTGATCTCTTGGTTATTTAGTAACGTATTGTTTAGGCTCCATGTGTTTGTGGTTTTTACCGTTTTTTTCCCTGTAATTTCTAAACTCATAGCATTGTGGTCAGAAAAGATGCTTGATATGATTTCAGTATTCTTAAATTTACTGAGACTTGATTTGTGACCCAAGATGTGATCTGTCCTGGAGAATGTTCCATGCGCACTTGAGAAGAAAGTGTAATCTGCTGTTTTTGCATTGAATGTCCTATAAATATCAAATCTGTCTGGTCTTTTGTGTCATTTAAAGCTTGTGTTTCCTTATTAATTTTCTGTTTGGATGATCTGTCCATTGGTGTAAGTGAGGTGTTAAAGTATTATTGTGTTACTGTTGATTTCCTCTTTTATAGCTGTTAGCAGTTGCCTTATGTATTGAGGTGCTCCTATGTTGGGTGCATATATATTTATAATTGTTATATCTTCTTCTTGGATTGATTGCTTGATCATTATGTAGTGTCCTTCCTTGTCTCTTGTAACGTTCTTTAAAGTCTATTTTACCTGATATGAGTATTGCTACTCCAGCTTTCTTTTGATTTCCATTTGCATGGAATATCTTTTTCCATCCCCTTGCTTTCAGTCTGTATGTGTCCCCAGGTCTGAAGTGGGTCTCTTGTAGACAGCATATATATATATGGGTCTTGTTTTTGTATCCATTCAGTGAGCCTGTGTCTTTTGGTTGGAGCATTTAATCCATTCACGTTTAAGGTAATTATCGATGCGTATGTTCCTATGACCATTTTCTTAATTGTTTTGGGTTTGTTTCTGTAGGTCCTTTTCTTCTCTTGTGTTTCCCCCTTAGAAAAGTTCCTTTAGCATTTGTTGTAGACCTGGTTTGGTGGTGCTGAATTCTCTTAGCTTTTGCTTGTCTGTAAAGCTTTTGATTTCTCCATCGAATCTGAATGAGATCCTTGCTGGGTAGAGTAATCTTGGTTGTAGGTTCTTCCCTTTCATCACTTTATATATGTCATGCCACTACCTTCTGGCTTGTAGAGTTTCTGCTGAGAAATCAGCTGTTAACCTTATGGGAGTTCCCTTGTATGTTATTTGTCACTTTTCCCTTGCTGCTTTCACTGATTTTTCTTTGTCTTTAATTTTTGCCAATTTGATTACTGTGTGTCTTGGCATGTTTCTCCTTGGGTTTATCCTGTATGGGACTCTCTGCACTTCCTGGACTTGGGTGGCTATTTCCTTTCCCATGTTAGGGAAGTTTTCGACTATCATCTCTTCAAATACTTTCTCGGGTCCTTTCTCTCTGTCGTCTCCTTCTGGGACCCCTGTAATGCGAATGTTGTTGTGTTTAACGTTGTCCCAGAGGTCTCTTAGGCTGTCTTCATTTCTTTTCATTCTTTTATCTTTATTCTATTCCACAGCAGTGAGTTCCACCATTGTGTCTTCCAGGTCACTTATCCATTCTTCTGCCTCAGTTATTCTGCTGTTGATTCCTTCTAGTGTAGTTTTCATTTCAATTATTGTATTGTTAATCTCTGTTTGTTTGTTCTTTAATTTTTCTAGGTCTTTGTTAAACATTTCTTGCATCTTCTTGATCTTTGCCTCCATTCTTTTTCTGAGGTCCTGGATCATCTTCACTGTCATTATTCTGAATTCTCTTTCTGGAATGTTGCCTATCTCCACTTCATTTAGTTGTTTTTCTGGGGTTTTATCTTGTTCCTTCATCTGGTACATAGCCCTCTGCCTTTTCATCTTGTCTATCTTTCTGTCAATGTGGTTTTTGTTCCACAGGCTGCAGGATTGTCGTTCTTCTTGCTTCTGCTGTCTGCTCTGTGGTCGAGTTTTTTTGTAAAATGATTTAGGGTCTAGTCTCAGATCGTTCCAAACCAGTTTTCACCTGCATGTACGTCCCATGGGTCTTTTAGAAGTCTGTGTAGGGCAGCCCTGTGCATCACAGAGACTGGTGTGCCGCCACACCAGCTCTCTGACTTAAAAGCCCTCGTTTGCCTCATTTGCTGATTTCTGTGCTATAAATACTCCCACAGTGGCTGGCATCAAACTACCAGTAGAAACTGGCCCACAGAATTCCTGCAGATTTAACCATCCGCTTAGTAGGAGCCAGCTTCGGGGCACCACTAACTTCACAGTACATCTGGTGTCTCTGGCCCTGCCCTCTAAATGCCAGTTGGATTCCCCAAGTCATCATGACCTGAAAAAAGTGTCACCACAGATTTCCAAAACACCTCCCTCAGGGGCAGTACCGCCCCCATGGAGAACCAGTGCATTCAGCTCTGATCGTATCTCTGGTGTAAGTGACCTCACCCAGTTGTAGCTGCTTTACCTGGGTGGGTGTGATTGGTACTCAACCCCTAGGCTGGAACCTCTGGCTGCCTGTTCTGCTCCAGGGAGAAGCTGACAGCACTGAGCAGGACCGCAGTGCTGGCCTCAGCCTGTGGAGCAGCCTGGCTGTTCCCTGCTGGCGGCCAGGAGGAAGCCCGGGGACCCACACTCTTCAGCCCTGATGAGCCCAGGGTAGCCCCATCCCGCCTCTCAGCTCCAAGGCTTTAATCAGAGCACAGGCGCACAGCTCAGAAAAGGACACTCATATTTCAGGGCTGTCCCCTGGGCCCAGTGCCTCTTTGCACAACCCAGTTAGTTCAGCACCTGAGAAGTTAACAAATGGCAGGATTCCTGAAGCGAGCCTCCGTTTCTCAACACCAGAGTGTCTGTGCAGCCTGCATCATGAAGGTGGAGGAACACATGGCCTGTATGAGGCACAGGTGGGAACAATTCACGGCCCTGCGAGAACTGAGAGCAAGCTGTAAAAATGGCCCTAAAACTGACCAGAATATAGGAGATGGATGCACTCTGCTTTCCGAAGGAAGAACATGGTTTAAGACCTTTGCTACACAGCATTAAAGGCTCGTTTCTCTCCCCACTCAGTGTACACTGGACTCAGAAGTGGCCATGAGAGTGGGTGGAGAGTTCTTCTTTGACCCTCAGCCTGCAGACGCCTCTAGAAACCTTGTGTTGATTGCGGGAGGAGTTGGAATTAACCCTCTGCTTTCCATCCTGCGGCACGCAGCAGACCTCCACAGAGAACGGGCGAACAAGGGACGTGGGTATGAGATTGGAACAATCAGACTGTTCTACAGTGCAAAAAACACCAGTGAGCTCCTGTTCAAGGTAAGGGAGGAGTGTGTGTGTCCCATAGCTTGCTGTGAGCAGACTCGCATCATGGTATTAGTGTCCGCGGACCTTTCTTGTCTCCATTCCGTCTTCTCTGCAATAGTTCAGAGGCTGGAAAGGCTGAATCATGTTCAAATGAGGCCCAGGACAATTTAAAAAGCTAGTGCTGAGGAGGCTCCCAGTGCAGTGACAGGAGAGGGCAGGGCTGGGGGCTTGAATCAGGAGGTGGACGAGCAGGAAAGTCAGCGTGGCGCTGGGGTTCCCCAGAAAGTCACGAGGACTACGGCTGGGCTCAGATGGCACAGGAGTAGGTGAGACCCAGCTGGGTATGTGAAACCCCCAGCGTTTGCATCTGTGGAAACTAAATCCATTTGACAGGAGAAGGGTTTCACTCTGGGTTGCTTTGCAGCTGCAAGGATGAACAAAAGAACAGAAACAGTTAAAAGACACAACTGTGGTCAGTGAAACTGCTGCTTAATTGCCCACGCCTGAGAAAAAGGAAAAAGAAAAAACTCCCGGAGAGTTAGTAATATGTTTGTTAGCATATTCAGATTTCAATTAAAGCCAAATAGCCCTCTGTACTCTGAATGCTCTGGCCTGCTCGGCTGCAAACAATATCCCTCTAACTAGAGAGCGGAGGGGCAGACGTGTGTGGAATGGCAGTGGAGGTTCAGCGTCCCTGGGGGTGCACATCTGTTTTGATTTTTTTAAATTGTAGTGTGACCAAATATGTTTGACATTCCAGAAAAATATCCTTGATTTAGTAAATGAATTTCCTGAGAAGATTGCATGCAGTTTGCATGTTACAAAACAGACTACACAAATCAGTGCAGACCTCAAGCCATACATCACGGGTGAGTCCCCTAAAGATGTTTTGACTGTATCCACACCGTTATTTTGTGGATGTGCCAGTTGGTTGAGTGTAGATGCTTTATTGCTGGGAGTTGCTGGCTGGGAATGTCACTACTTGGGGAATTGAGAGACGATTCATCATGGAAAAATACGGAGAGGTTAGTTGGATTTACTTATTATATACAGATCTCCTGCTGCCCATATTAAAATTTATTTTCTGCATTTTTTAGGGGACCTTTGCGTCATCGCCGTAGTATGCATACAAAGAATTATACTCCGGCTTTGACTGAATCAATTCCATTTGCCATTACTAGTAATTTAAATTTCTCGTGGTTTCCCCTCCCTGGGAGGAGTTCTCACAAAGCAGTTTATTTACTTTGCTGAAGGCAGTTTTGAATCTCTCCCAAAGATCAGTATGCTCCCTGGCCCTGTCTGGTGAGTGCATTATGATCAGCTGCCCTCATTGCTTGCCGTGGATTCAGGAAACCTGGAGACGCGCTCTCTGCTTGGGTCCGGCCCGGACACCAGCAGGAGCCGGAATGCTGATGACTCAGGACGCGACCCACTGAGCTTAGTTACTGAAAATAAACGCTGTTGCCGAGTTGTGGTTAGTCCTTCCTCTTTTCAGTACAGACATGTCTGGCTTAAATTGGTGTTTATTCTGTTTTTTGGTAGAAGGAAGAATAACGGAGAAGGAGATAAGATATCATATTTCAAAAGAGACCTTGTTCTACATTTGTGGCCCACCTCCCATGACAGACTTCTTCTCCAAGGAACTGGAGAGCAGCCACGTTCCCAAAGAGCACATCTACTTTGAGAAGTGGTGGTAGGGGGCAGGCGCAGGTGCAGAAGGGTGGGATGGAGGTCCACGAGGACAGGGACAGACAGTACACTCTGTGATTCGTGGTGGATGAATTTACCTCTACCCAGTCTTAGTTTTTAAGGCTGTGAACTCAGTGACCGGTTGGAGAAACAAGAAAAACCAGCTGACAGACTTAAATGATAAACTTGTTGCAAAAACTTCATTGATTAAACTGATTTTCACTATGTTGACTTTCTTTTATGAATAACTGCTTGATTATCTCATGATGTACCTCGAATTGGTCAATAGGGATTTTCTTTCCCCTTAAGGGAAAAAAAGACATAGACTTTTATTCAGTCATATGAAAATATAGTTTTGTGTGTGAAATGTAGGCTATCTTTAAATTATTTGATAACAACCTATATATCTTATGTTGAATAAATTTAAACGTAATTTCACTTGAAATGCTTTATTATATTTAATGTCTTAGGGACTTCCTTGGTGGCACAGTGGTTAAGAATCCGCCTGTCAATGCAAGTCTTAGGGACTTCCTTGGTGGCACAGTGGTTAAGAATCCGCCTGTCAATGCAGGGGACACGGGTTCAAGCCCTGGTCCGGGAAGATCCCACATGCCATGGAGCAGCTAAGTCCACGTGCCACAACTCCTGAGCCTGCGTGCCACAGCTGCTGAAGCGTGTGTGCCTCGAGCCCATGCTCTGCAACAAGGGAAGCCACCGCAGTGAGAAACCTGCGCACCGCAACGAAGAGTAGCCCCTGCTTGCTTCAACTAGAGAAAGCCCACGCGCAGCAACAAAGACCCAACGCAGCCAAAAATAAATAAATAAAAATTTAATGTTTTAGTTTACCTTATTGTGGCCTGCAGCCTTGCTTCTTCAGAAGTTGGGTTTGGAAATAGAAAATTATTAGGAAAACTGCTTTACGGAATTGAACATCCAGCATATTTGCTTCATGTTAATAAACAACCTCAGTATGTATCCTAATTGTTAGTTTCTTCTCAGATGAAACCTTTCCTGGGGTCTGTGTCTTTGGCCACCTGCCTCAGTGCTACATGTGGGAGGCAGCTTCTTGTTTGGGACAAAGGCAAGGATGACTGCGTGTTCCCTGTTGAATCTGCCTTTAGTGGCTTGGCTGGCTGGCTATAGAAATGTGCCTAGCATTGATTAGGGGGTACAGAGCCAATTCCAAACCCTGTTCCTCTGCCTTTTATTTCATTCTTTTGCCAAGGTTGTTCCTGGCACAGCAGCTTCTCACATACCTGTTGAGTGACTAAAAGAAAGCAACTACCGTTTAATCCCTTGCTAAGCCTGGGGTTGGGAGGTGGTCCCCAGGATGCATGGACAGAGTGGAGAGCATCGTCCTAAGGCTGCTCTGGTGGAACTGCTAGAAAGCAGACTTTACTTCTTATCTCTGTTTAGAGTTTAAAAAACCTGAAATAAGTCCCTGGGCTCAGGCCAGGCCCTCCTTTCTGTGACAGGCAGTCTCAGACCATGGCCACCTTCCTGGAGAACCCCATGAGGTAAGGGGGGTCTGGGAAGAAGGGCAGACCAGAGCCGGAATGCGGGGGTCCATGGAGAGGATTCTGTTCTCTAGCTGATGAGAGGGCAGGAGACCCTTTCTCCTCTCTGGGGTTGCAGGTCTCATGGGACTCCAGGGCTTAAACACATCACTGACTTATGGGGTCTGGCGACGGCTAGCATCACCGTTCTAGCCTCTGCCCTGTTTTGAATTTTGTTTTAAGCAGGGATCATTTGTCAACTGTTTCAATCCCAGATTTGAATTCCGCAGGAGGAGAGGGGGACCCTTGACCCGACAGGAACATGAGAGTCCGTTCAGGGCAATGATCGTCACCATTTTAGAGGTGAGGGGAACATGAGGAGCTCTGACCTCCCTAAGGAGCCTGAGTCACCCATTGGCCCCAAAGTGTCCAGGCTGAGGGCTGGCCTTGAGGGCAGAGCATGCTGAGGTTCAAGGGCGTGGGAGCACCACAGGGCCGGGCCCTTCTGCCCACTGGCCAGGGCAGCTGGTAGGGAGGGGACACCCAGCTACCGAGAGGGAGTCCGCCCCAGGCCTTTCTGTGTTGGGAGTGGAGATGCCGGGGAGTAGCTTCAGTGTGGCCTGGGACAGGGGGCCTGTGTGCCCGGTGTTGTGTCATAGAGCGAGGGCCACCTGTCCTGGAGATCCCAGCTCTGCCTGCCACCCTGCCAGACACTGTCGCCATCTGTAAATCGCTGAGGGGCCAGGTCATGACCTTTGCCTAGACTGTAGCTCCTTCCAGCTCTGTTCTTTCTGGTGCTGAGTGCTGAACAGTATATCTGGTCCACTGGTCAAGGATGTCCTTTTGCCCTTGCTTGCTGGGCCAGTGAGAATCTCTTTGGTCCTCAAATTAAGTCCTGCCAGGGTGACTTGGAATTTATAGGGTGGTGGCTGAGAATTTCAACTGGAGAGAGCCTGTGAGCCAGGCTGCTTGGGTTCAGATCTCAGCTCTGCCACGTACTGGGTAGATGACCTGGAGCACGTCACTGACCTGCGTGATGCCTCAGTTTGTAATTACACGTGGGCACATATGTGCCCCTGCGTGTGAAACAGAGGTAATAATACCGCCTCCCTCGTTAGGGCTGTTATGGGGATTAAAGGTGATGAAACATATGAAGTGCTCGGTAGAGCAGTGCATGAGTGTGAGTGTGTTATTACTTTGCTTTTCCTCATCCTATTCAGGAAGGATGTAAGAGGCTGGATGGCGCAGGTTTAGTCTACCTGCCTGTAACCTGCACATGGTAGGGCTCTGTCTTGTTCAGCACTCATTTTGGCACATGGTAAGTACTTAGTAGATACTTCTTACATGGGTGAGAGGACCTGCCCAGAGCTGATGGGCTGTTTTAAAGGCATTCTTAAGGATCCTTCTGGCCTTATGAGTTTGTGAAAGGATGTTTTTTCTTGGGACATGAGACCCTTTCAGAGTCTACTCATAAGATAGGTTAAGCTGATGTGTGGGACTTTCTCAAATTTTGTGTTAGAATGAACGCTAACACTCACCAGAAAATGGATCAAATACCTTGGCCTTTCGCAAATAGTCTGCCATTAAAGGGGCTTTCTCTGAGGCACAGGGTACTTCCTCATCCACAGGGTGTCTTTAGGTGGACGTGGAGCTCCGAGATAAAGATGTTCCCTGGGACCCTGTTTCTGGTCAGTAGCCCCTACTCTGAAAGAAAAAAAAAAAAGGTCTTATTATGAAAATGTTCAAAGATACACCAAAGTAGACAAGACAGTAGAATTATACATCCATCACCCAGCTTCACTGATTACCAACATTCTGCTGTTTATTTTTGTCTGCCCTCAACGTCATTGTGTTTTGATGTTTCAGGAGTATTTTGAAGTAAATCCTAGAAATCATATCATGTCACCTGTAAATTCTTCAGGGTATAACAGCCATGTCACCTCAATGTGACCACCGTGCCATCATCACACTCGGCACAAGTAACAGTGATTCCTTAATATCATCAAAACAACCTTCCTGAGTTCTTTTCCCCCCACTGCCTCAAAGTCTACGTGTTGCAATTCGGTTGATATGTCCTTTGAGCTGCTTTCAATCCACGGTCCCCTCTCCCCACCCCACACACATATCCATAGACACTTCATTGAAGAAACTGGGGCACTGGTCCTATAGACTTTCCCACATTGTAAACCCAGCCTACTGTATCCTCAAGGTGTCATTGAACATCACCCTGTATCCTCTGTATGTCACATAAACTGGTAAGTAGATCTAGAGCTCATTTAGATTCAGATTCAAGATTTTTTTTCTTTTGCATCGTAAGTGCTATGTATGTATTTATTTTGTTTTAAAGAAGATGTTGAGGGTAGGAGTTTATTAATTTATTTTTGCTGTGTTGGGTCTTAGTTTCTGTGTGTGGGCTTTCTCTAGTTGCAGCGAGCGGGGGCCACTCTTCATCGCGGTGCGCGGGCCTCTCACTATCGCGGCCTCTCTTGTTGCGGAGCACAGGCTCCAGGCCCACAGGCTTAGTAGTTGTGGTGGACGGGCCTAGTTGCTCCGCGGCATGTGGGATCCTCCCAGACCAGGACTCGAACCCGTGTCCCCTGCATCAGCAGGCAGATTCTCAACCACTGTGCCACCAGGGAAGCCCGGTGTTACATATTTCTGTTGCATCCCAATGAGGTACCCAATGTCTGTCCCACTTCTAGTGTTTTTAAGATTGATCAGTGGGTTCAGCTTTTGTCAGCCTGATCCCCCCCAATGAAAAGTTCTCTATCAGCCTTTCAACTAATTATCTTAGTAGCTGTTGATCATTGTCTATACCTACTATTTCATTAAGGATTAATCGCCCATCTCTATCATTTTTCCTGCATTTATTACCTGTGACTCTTCTAAAAAGAACTTTCCCTCATTGACTTTGCCCTAAAATGAGTCTGAATTGGAAAGACAGGATCAGTGCTTGATTCCTTTTATTCATCAATTAGCCTATTAAGAGTTGGTGTCTGAGCAACCTCCGAAGCTCGAAGATGACCAGTGACATTATTTTTTTTAAGTATCATTATGAACTCTGACTTTTTGTACATTTGATCGTTTGCATCCATTGTGTTCAGATTTTCGATGGTTGGCTTGTTTGGGGATGCCCCGGCTGTGTTAGGGGCCCCCACTAAGTCGTGGGGTGTTGATGAGGTTTGGGGCTATTAGAGTTGCAAAAAGTGCTTGAATAAACAGAAAAGAGGAAAAGGAGATGAGTGTGCTGTCAGAAACCCACATGAAGAAAGTGTTTCAAGCAGGACGGACTGGTCAGCTGGGTCATTCTTGATGCAATAGGAGAGGAGTTCTTATGAGCAGCCATTGATGTAGCAACTGGAAGGTCACCGGTGATCTTGATAAGAGGGATGTTAAGAGTGAAACATTGGAGTGGGTGTGGGAACAACTGGGAGGAAAGAAATTGTAATGAGTATGAATCGTTGTTTCAAAGAATGTTACTGTAAAGGGAAGGAAAAAGATGGAATGGTAAC